ATCGCTCTTTCTCTGGGAAAGAGAAATTTGTCTACTAGCTGCTATATATTTAAATTAAAATGAAAAATTGATTTTCACTATGATACCTTAGTTTTGAGATAACGTGTAACTAATTAAACCAAGCTCATATAATGGTTTCTAGTTATTGGAACTGGAAGTGATGAAATTCGATTTTCCGCTATAATATTTTAAGATAGATGCTGGGTATTCAATTTTCATAGTTGTTACAGATATTTGGATTAGAAGTCAAGAAATAACATCTCTATAGGAAAGCGTTCGGATTGGTACCAAGAAACCGATTTATTAGCTGGATAAACGTAGTAGGTTAAACTAAACTTATAATACATATAAATAAATTAATATGATCATAATTATAATTATAATTACAATTACAATTATATAAAATAATGGTTATAAAATAATGGCACCCAAAAAAATTTTCTAACCTTACAATTACCGACTATCTATTGCTAAATTAGTTGCTATTTATATATTATATATATAGAATATATATTTATGTATAAATACATATTTTTTTATATATTTAATATATAAAGTACATACATAATACGTTAAATATATAAATATACTTATACTAACAAGACTCCAGAAAAATATGCGAACAAAAAAGTCAAGTACGGCTTTGGATCAGTTGGTTAAGGTGCGCTGATTCTGAGCAGGACCCGAGTTCGAATCCTGGTACTTGCAGTCTCAAAAATAATTATTTACGAATAATTAAATACAGGAACTATTTCCAAGACCACTGATGATGAGTATTTGGCAATACTCGAAACAGCTGTATGGTCAGCCAAAAATTCAATTAATTAAAATAATATAAAAAATAAAATTTTTGTTATTGTAGTTCACTACTGTTCGAAGAAACCTCTTTATAAATATACTTATATATTTTATATATATTCTAGTTAAACCTTCCTAAATATATTTTGAGTCAATTTTTTCCTGCCTATATTATATTATTTTATTTAAAGAAACAAATTTGATATTAATAATTAATTAATAATTAATAATTAATTAAAATTAATAGTAATTAATAAATAATCAATAATAATAATAATTAATTATAAGTAATGATAATAATAATTAATGATAATAATAGTTGATAATTAATTAAAAATAATAATAATTAATAATTAATTAATAATAATGATAATGAACAATTAATTAATCACATATGAAATTATTATTAAGCTTTAGATATATCAGACTCATTTATTTGTCTATAGAATGAAGTTTAGTGGAACATTTAAGATTTTATATCACGTTTATTGTTATTAATCGAAATGGCCAATAACGAAATATCGAATAATAATAATATTTCACTTTATTGTAATAAGTAATATTATTCTTGTAGTTTCTTTTAGTCTATTAAATTAAATTAAGGCTTTACTTTTTTACTATAAATAATAAATAAAAAATATATCTTTGACTACATATGTATAGTACGTATAACAGCTTTAACAACTGAAACTTCCTCTTCATAGTAATTAGTAAAAATTTCGAAACATCCATCTACTTGAAACTGCTGAATATTAATTCCAACTATCTTTTTATTATATATATATATATATATATATATATAATATTAAAATTAATAACTTATTTATTAATAAACTGTCAACCTTAAAACAATAATTAAAAGTAGTTTATTCGCTTACCTCTCTTGCCATTACGACATGCCTCAACAGAGCCCACTGGTAGGGTCTGCGTCTGCCATCTGTTGTCTGCTCGTGGTAACGCCACCACCACTGACCGCATTAAAAATGAACTGTGCGATGTGAGAGCAGTGATTTTCAGAGTTCCGCATTAATTTAAAATAATTATTTTTTATTTTTCTTATTTATTTTTATTATTATTATTATAGCAGCTTAAGAAGAATTTTTTTCTTCTTCTATTTTTTATTTCTTCTATGTTAATATTTTAGTTATTATTTTTTGTGGGGGGGACAATCGTAAAAAATTTGCTTTTAAATGCGTTATTCGTTATTTTTATTGTGTGTTTTGCTTATTTATTTACTGAGTTTGCATTTTGGTTTCGTTTTTGTAGTATGCTTTGCGTGGTCCTTCGTAATACCTGACTTGCACTTTTTCTATTGCTTCTTAGTTAATAAAAATTTTGCTTTTTCTTCTGTTTTCTTTTCTTCTGCTAATTTATCCAACAATTACACTTACGGGAAGACTAAGTTTACTGCTTTTTATTTTTAATTAAATTTTCTTGATTTTTTTTCTTTTTGTTTTTATCAATTTCTCTTCAATACTTGTTTAAACTGTTAACTGTCATTAACCGTTATGCTTTCATATGCATATTTCTTTTGCATTTACTTCTGTTTCCTTTCCGTTATCGTATTTCAATTTCCGCTTTTGCTATTGCTCTTACTGCTTTTCCTTTGTATGTTATCGCTCTCGCTTTGAACATTTTGTTTAATTTTATCACGAACACGCTTTTCCACAATTCTGTTTTACTTTCAAACATTTTCTTAACTTTGTTCTACATACTTGTTTCTTTTGTTGTTTTGTTTTATTCGCTATTCGTTGTATTTATCAAACGTCAATTGAAAACAAAAAAAAAAAATAACAATAAAACAACAACGACAATGACGTGAATTTGGTCACAATTGTTTTTTTGTTTGTTTCTTTTTAGGAAGTTTTCTCATTTTTTCTTTTTGCTTATTTGGTATATTTATTCTATTCACAAAATTCCCTGCAATCTATGAAAATTTTCTCTACTATATTTACAATTTTTCATCCTTTTTTCTATTTTCTTTTTTAATTCATTATTCTTCTCGCGAAAGTCCTACACGCAGTTCATTTCACTACAGCATGGCAAAATGTCTGTATGTGGTGCATGTCTATATGTTAGGATGTGTGTATTTGTGCGTTAGTGTGTGTGCTCTTACATCTGTTTCATTTTATTGAAAAAACTCCCCACCCACCTCTTCTATTGCGAAAACCTCTATTATATTCAGGACTTATGATCAAAAAACTACCTTTTTGACCATTTTTTTACACGTTTGTTAGTTTGCTTGGGACCTTAAGTAAGGAAATATTGGATTTGATAATTCTGAATTTGGAAAACATATCTGGATATAATTATTAGACCCATTTTATTAAAGGAAGTCTCCAACTCTTCAATTGCAAAAAACTCTTTTACATTCAGAACTTATGGTCAAAAAAGACGTACATTTGTTAGTTTCACTTGGATTTTAAGTAAGGAAGCATTGGATTTGTTAATCCTGCATTTGGAAAACATTTATGAACATAAATATTTAACCTATTTTATTAAAGAAACTCTCCATCCAACTGTTCAATTGCGAAAACTTCTTTTATATTCAGGACTTATGGTCAAAAAGGTAACTTTTTTGAAGATGTACGTTTGTGAGTTTCATTGGGATTTTAAGTAAGAAAGTATTGGACTTGATAATTCTGAATTTGGAAAACATTTATGGATTAAAATACTTAACTCATTTTATCAAAGAAACTCCCCATTTTCTAGTGCAAAAACCTCTATTATATTGAGGACTTATGGTGAACAAAGTAATTTTTGTGGCGACGCACGTTTGTAATTTTCTTTAACTCTTTAAGTAAGGAAGTATTTAATTTGCTTATTCTGTGAATTCTAACACCATTCGTATATATAATAATTTAATCAATTTTAATGAGAACCTACTATTACTACTACCTACTTAAGTATCGCACCAACTAAGTGGATTTGGAGTTCAAACCCCCAAACATATTATACAACGCTACACATAAAAAATTTTTTTTCATTCCCGTTCAGTGGCTTTTAGTTCAAAGCCATTAAAATAAAAATAATTAATAATAAATTCTTTTATTCCCATTTAGTGGACTTCAAGTTCAAAGACCCCAAAATATATTGTACCATCATGAACAAATTTTTTTTTATATTGTAGGTTTTTATTTTATTTTATTTTATTTTATTTTATAGGGTTTGACTGTAAAGCCCCCAAAAATGTTTAAAAATATCAAATTAGTTCTTAAAAACCACATGTTAGATTGTCTCTGTATACCCCTATATATCTTACTGAATCTAGATTGAAATATAAATCCGACTTATATGTAAATCTGGATATAATGGATTTTCTTCATTTAATTATTTTCATATGAACAAATTATTCATTTTTAAAGGTCTCATATTATATAAGCCTTTAGATACCCCTGTACCTTACTAAAATCTAGATT